TGCTTTGTCCTTATCTTTTAATGTTTTTTGTTCTGTGGCAATACCGCCTTTACTAGCCGCGAATCTCATTAACTTTAATATCACCTGAAATGGATTTTTAATTAAATTAGGTATGTTTCCGTAAATTAGGTTTCCGTCTGGTAACAGATTAAGAATACGGAGTGTCACCACCTCTATTCATTCCTTGGATGATGTAAGAGCCGACTAAGGGAGTAGATTAAGCATAATAACACCACTGCAAATAAAAGGAAAAGTTAAAACAAACCCTGTACCAACCCCTCTGGCCAGCGTGGGATAGTAGGCAAAAAAAAACCCTTCCTATGTCCAGCAGTAGACTACTAAAGGCTGATGTTTTTATAGACAACGCCTGCACTAGGACTCTGACGACCGGATGGCGTAGTGGTTTGTGTAACGAACTGCTATTCCAATGGTCGCGGGTTCGATTCCCGCTCAAGTCAAACATTTGTGAGCATGAACATGGAATGTTTGATTTGGTCAGAGTGTTTCTATGTATCACATCAATAGCTTTTAATAGTCCACTGCTGGACATAGGCCTCTCCTTAGAAAGGAGGTTTCTATGTATAATATGTATGTATTCACAAAAAAGTACCTAGTTGTCTAGTATCCCTAGTACAAGCTCTACTCAGTTTTTATGATAGTTGTATGATAGTTCTAAAAAAAGCCATTCAAATTAAGTATATTTCCCTTTCTCTGAAGTCCCTAGATATGGAACTTTGTAAGTTTATTCACATATAAAGTGACATTGTCTTCATCCTAATGAATATTACTGTAACACATGTGACAGACATTAAATTTTGTTTGTCACATATGTGCGATGTCCTTAAGACATTTTTTTTTTAAACCCTTTCTTTATTCTCGTTTTTTTCTTACACTGCTTTCTGATCTGTGAGTTTTACCACCATTAATTGTAGAGCACTAGAAATATCATTTGCGTATTTTAAACGAACATTCCCTATTCTGTCAAATCTGCCAAAAGGTATTTAGACACTCCAGACAAATCGGTTTCCCTTCAGTTTCCCTTCAATAAACTTCAATATATAACTTTTCATAAAAATTTTGGTAACAAAATAATTAGTCGTGTCGTCATATCTGAGTGTTGCCACATTATTTGCTTTTAATATTTAATTTAACAATAAAATATGAATCCTGATTTTTAAACCTATATATCATTCTTTAATTCTTATGAAATAAAGTAAAAAGCTATAGTGAAAATAAATTGTGTAACCTAAACTAAACTATCCAATGTCAGTATCGATAAAAAACCAATTCTCATGAAAATAGTTCAACAAAACTTTACTAGGTGGCGCTCGAATAAAATTTATTGTAAAAAAAAAATAGTAACTTCTTATTGATATTTTGTACAACAACATTATTCCATTATATAATAGTAACGTACATTTTAGTCAAAAATACATATTATGGTTACGTAATTTTATACATACAATGCATAAATAAATATTAAAATAGATAATATCAAAACTAAACATTCCATTCACAATTTTAGCAACTAAAAAAATGTAGATTACTATGACTGCTAAAACTAGACTCGCAAAAATGTGATAATCATAAATTATTCAATGCAAGTTCAAATAAAATATAGCTTACTATTATATGAAAATCGGCCATGTTGGAAAAAAAGGCATACGTTCCCGCCATTATATTAGTAAGGCAATAGTAGATGATGTATTGTAACACCAAGTGTTGGAAATTGTATATTTTAAGCGTAATTCCCGACTCAAGGAAATATTCTTTTCGCCCTCCAAAGTCACGGGTAACTTATTGCTTATTGTTAAACAGGTAACATAGGCTTACGTTCACTTAAATATATGCGGTATTCAGTATCTGAAACTCAAACTCAAATATTTTTTATTGAGTAGGCCTTACAGCCACTTTTAAATGACAGTAGTACAATTGATAATCAAATTTAAAAAATGATTCTGATGACCTAGCGAAAGGTCTTGAAAGTCACATAAATAAAGTTATATCTCTATTGCAAGACCTAACATAAACCATTCTGCTGCATGGCTTTGGTTATAAACAAAACCATGCAGGTTCGTTAATACTAGTTTTACTTTGGACATATTGCACAGAGATATCCAAACCCGTATTCAACTTTTCTTTTACTAATGTACCGACTTTAATGCACATAAACACAACTACTTGGAACATCATGATTAATTGTAACACTGTATTCTTCATTTCTTAATTTTACACACCTAGGGGTGATATTTTTTGGAAATCAGCCAAAACTCGTATAGTCGACAGAAGATTTAAGAGGGCATCATAGCCAGTGTGAAATTGGTAACATTAAAATTGCACACCGGTATCACTGACGATCTTGATGTATGCTTTTATATCTCCTGGAGAGGATCAGTTATATAAAAACTCCGTATAAGGTATTTTTTTATGGTTTAGGAGGAGTGGGTGAGCACAAAGTTCACACGATGGTGAGTGAATATCGAGATCTTGGAGATCTGCAACTTAAGTCACAAATGCATTGCCGTCTCTCAACCCCTCCCTCCAGAACCAGAAGGAGGAGAGTTTAGGTTTAGGTAACCTCACACATTCTCAAAAATCTGCTTAACAACGGATTTCTGTGAGCATGACTCTCACGATAAGGTCTCTACTCAACGCAGTAATACAACGCCATCTACCTTTTTGCGAGATTTTAGTGTGCCCCACTATGTCATATGATTCGCTATCAGAAAACAGATACCTTCAAACACGAGATGAAGTGTTAAAAGTTATACGTACGTATACTTTATAGGTTTGTACGTACGAGAAATTTACGGTTCTCGAACAACGTAAACCGAATAACGCTCATTCGGTACACTTCTATCAAACTCGCTAACCCGATATTAAGTGGCAATAAATTTTGTAACGTCACGATGACTCCCCACAGTTTCGCTTGTAAGCTTCTGTCGTATTATTTTTACATTTCAACATCTATCAAATGATGAAAGCTTTGTGAACAACGTTTGTATACGAACAGAATTTTTAACCCTTCAAACTCTTTTGAAGGTCATTCGCTTGGAATTTTGGTTACATTCATATATTGGTTGAATTTATATATCGACTACAAAAAGTAGGTGAATCTATCGATTTGTAAGCAGAGTTCGAACAGAAGGACATTATCAAACCAAAGGGTTTTTTTATGTGTGTAAGTCTCTACGATTTCAGCTTATACGCTCGTGTAATATTGAAGCTGTAATGAAACCAGGAGAAGATTTTCCGTTCAACTGCAATTTATCTTTGTCATTTGTGAACCGATTCCAAAAAAAATTTTTTTTAATGAATTCTTTGTACTGAAAGTTGGTCCTAATTGAATTTGAAAGAATATTTAATCTAGGTATACTCGTATAGGAAAATAAAGGAACGAAGAATACCTTATGACAATTTATTATAATTTTATAATAATTATTGTAACTCAACTTCGATTACTATTAAAGTGTGTTTTTTTTTCATTTCTTTTGTAATATAATATATTTTCCTATTTGATACATCTGAATCTGTGCAAATTTCAAGCTAATCAGAGGTCTCGAAGTGCGTAAAGGAAAGATTTCGTTACACAGTAAGAAAAATAAAAAGATAGATAATGTAAAACTAGGTTACAAGTCAATATAAAGAGTATGAAAGGGATAGCTATTACAGCAAATCCTAGTATTGCGACTGTAAACTTCTCGTACCTTACAATGTTGTATGTACGACAAAGTGATGTGTCAAACAATATTATGTAGTATAAATAGGGAAAATCAGAACATCTTTGTTCAAGACATAGAATGAAATGTTTTTAAACCCATATATATGTATAGGTATATATTTATATATATCTATATATGTTAGGGGGGGCAGACGAGCAGACGGGTCACCTGATGGAAAGTGACCATCGCCGCCCTTGAGCCTCTATCGGTCTGGAAATACCGCGCCCGATAACAACTCGTAAAGGATCATTCTAGCAGTCCCCAGTCCCTACGAGCACTGTCCATTTCTGAGAAATACAAATTTCTACAAGATAATCGCGTGGCAATCTATTTTCGATCTTATGTGTATCTGCATAAAACTCATTACTCCGTATCACCCTGCCTTAATATTAAAACTATGCCCGGTATTGCGCGGATAAATGATTTTTCTGGAAAGTCCTTGATGTTTCGTAACAGTATACATACAACTTCCCAACCAGGAACCAACCACTCCAAACAACCAACTACCAACCGTAAGGCAGCGGTTCGCAAGGCATGATCACGTCACCTGTTCGGAGGATCCTCCCGTCATATTGGAAGGATATAACAAACTCTATTGAAACTAGCTATTCCCCGACTTTGACACTGACGATTTTCCATATAACCGTTACCCCCTTAAGGGTGAAGTTTTCAAAACCCCTTTCTTAGTGGATGCTTACAACATAAAAAGCACCAGCTGCATAAAATTTCAAGTTTGTAGCCCCAGCGGTTTAAGCTATAAAAGTCTAGTTAAGCTATTGCATAGCTTCTATCGAGGGCCTTGAGCGCGGTGACCGAATCCAGAAATTCCGTAACGAAAAAAAACCTCACGCTAAAAACAAAACAAAAAACAGTACCAAAATCAAATGCTGAACGTCAAAGGAAATTTCGTCAACATAATGCAGAAAAATCTTACATGGATATGTAATTTGATTTAATAATAATATTTTTTATTTATTTATTTAAAAACAAATTGTAATATTGAAATAAAAATATTGAAGCATTCAATATTTTTATTTAATAAAAGAAAAAAAATTGTTTTCTTATCGGTCACCACGCTCAAAAAGTGTAACTTGAATTAATATTAAAGAAAAAGAAATACTGCATAAATAAAATAAATAAATAATTATAATTGCATAAGTTGATACAAAATGCTATGCAATAGTTTTACCGCGGCAGTCCCCGAGTGCCACACGTCTTTTTATCCTAAAGTTACAATTCAAATCACAATATACTCCAAAAGTTCAATAAAACAATAATTTAAGGGAACTCCTTCACGAGACCACTAACTTCTGGGCCTCTAATATTCAAACCACTACTGGTGCCCCAATTGGCGGGCCATACATTTGCATCAAGATTCAGGGCACGTTGCGTACGCCGGGTTCGTCTGCACTTATCCTCATCTCCCTCCGGCCTACCCTCAAATCTCACAGGATACATTGTCAAGTAGTAAATTAGGATTCCCTTTTTGCGTATTGTTGAACTCATGGTTTGGCTTGTGGATTTTCTATTCTCGTAGAACTAAAAGGGGTCAATAGCTTAGCTCAATAAGGTAAATTATTTGAGTTGTATGCGGGAAGCATTTTATAAAAGTGCACACGAAAGTTTTAATTGTTTCAACACGTTACAATTGGTTTCGATATTTTTGTTACCGCATCTTAATTCTGCAGGCACACCATCCGGCCTGCAGAATCGAAGTGGTGAGCGATCCTGACTGCTAGGCTAGAGGTAGTGGGTTTGAGTACCACCCAGGTTAAATATTCTGTATTTTTTAACTCTATCATTAGGACTCATTAGGAGTGTCGCGAGGGACATTACAAACATACATGAAACGGACACAAACAATATTCAGACTCAGAACCACAATTTGTAGATCACACAAAGTAGTGTCCCAACAACCCACAACACCCAGTGCAGTAGGAAGCGGCTTGGCGACCGCTTAAACCTACTAGTACATAAAGTATGTATTTAAATAAGTATATTTGTTTAAAAATAAATACATAACCTGTTTTCGGCATTAGGCTTGACCCATTATGTTTGTGGAACTAAATTATATTTGGCAAAATGTGAGCATTAAATACGCCTATTCTAATAGGGATGAGTGTATGTAGTATGTATGTCATCTTAGATCTCTTTTAATAGTTCACTATATACGCAATCTTCTTTATTTTTATGGTAAAAGGGGGCAAAACTAGCAGACGGGTACCTGATAGTAAGCAACTAAGGCCGCCCATGGCCTCCTGCAACTCAAAAGTCACAAGTGCGTTGCTGCATGGGAAGAGGGGGGGGGGGGGGGGGCGATTTGGGCTCCGGTAAACTTACTCACTCAGTGAAAGGCAAAGAAAGAATTGCTTAACACCGGTTTTCTGTGAGGCCGTGGTATCACCGCAGTCGAGCCGGCCCATTCGTGCCGAACGATAGCTCTCCCGCGGTAACTTCCGCCGAACCTTTTTCTCAAAACTAGGTTGGGGTCGACTTTAAGTCAGATGTTTGTAGGCAACCAGGCCCGACGGCTTAACGTACTCTCCGAGGAACGGAGGGATCTCAATGTGTTAGGAATAGTCACACATTCATAGACTAACCTGGCTAGGATTGCTCAACTTTTGCAATGTGTCAACTTAGCCACAAGCCCCGCATTATACGCAATCTATTCTTTTTTTATAACTTTTTACCTGTGTTCAACTTACAGACTGTGTAAATCTTACCAGGGCTTGGCCATTTTTTAAAGTACCTTTATAAGCAATTCTATACAAAATATGTCGGGTAAGTGCACAGTCAGTAAATCGGGGCCCACCTGGCCGATGACAAACATTTCCGAACTAAACAAGAGCCATTAATCTGAAACGGTTTTCGAGAGAGTTTCCTTTGGTTGGAGCTAAAATGACGCATCAACGAAGTCACGTACAATATACATGTATATTTTAATATTCGGAACTGACCGGACGAATGGCTTAGTGGCTTAAACGGTCGCCACGCCGCTTTCTACTACGCTTAGTATTGTGGGCCCGATCCTCACATGGGACGACACTTTGTATGATCGACATTGTTGTTCTGAGCCTGGGTGTTCTTTGTGTCCGTTTCATGAATGTTTGTAAGGCATTGGTCTTAAAAAAAAAACGATTACGTCATCGATAGTAATCGTTCATCTATCGTCTTGTGTTTCTATTTATAACTTTCAAACATTTTATACAAACTATTCCCACCCAGGACAAGTAATTCAGTGATGAGCACAATGATTCTGTGTCTAGGTGTCATTTACGTTTAATGTGTATGTATTTAGAAATATATAAGTATGTTCATCAGCAATCTGGTTACCATAGTACAGGGTCCTGCTTAGATTGGAATCAGACGGCCGTGTGAGTGTATGGCTTAAAGAAAAATCCGTAGACGGTGACAGGATATTCATCTTGCCCTAAGAATGGCTGACCACTGGTATCTTACGTATGGTGTATTGTAAGACATGCATGAACAATTTTTAATGATTTCTTTTTATCTCATACTTTTGAGAACCAGATATTTACATAGTCGAACTTTACATATTAAACTTTTTTTAGCGTCCCGTTGACCTGAATTGCTTTTCCTACCAACTGATCTACAGTATGTTTTGTAGGCTTTACGTAACAGGGAAAGGCTTATATATTTTCTCTAAGAATAATGCCATATCTTAATACCGTGGGATTCAATACTTTTATTACGAGTACATCGTTGCTAAGAAAATGTACAGTATCGTTATATTTTTTCTAACAATAAATATCAAAAATTCTTATAGAACTTCGAATATAAAACGAAAGTATTTAAAAGTAACTACTTAATACTAAAACATTTTAGAAGCAACATTTTATGTGCCTAATATTTCATTCGTCACGACTGGGGCACCTAAAACGCCGCTCCATTTTCAACAGCCAAAAGACACTTGGACCAAACGGTGTACTTCAAAAGACTCTTTTTGGCACAAGTGCAATGGACAATCATTAATGTCGCTCTGAGACTCTCAGGTAATGGCTTTTACATTTCTGACGTCTGACCTCTAACTCCGCTCTGTTAAAATGCTGCGTAGATCGAGTGGAACCTGGGCTTCGCTTACAATTTTCATGTTTTTATGATGCTATTTAGAGGCCAATTTGTGTCAACGTTACTACAGTTTTAAGTATACATTTTCTTTTCAATGGAATAAATGGTTTTGGGTGGTAATATTTTGTGCCAGTAATAGCGTAAAGCTTCTAAAAAGATTCGTGAGAAAAAAAAGATAATGAAATTGAATATAGGTCTACCGGAATTTGATGGTAAAATGGTTAATCAAATTTTTTGGTGTTTAATACTAGGAAAATTTAAATAAACGATCTTAACTTTACTTCTTCTTATTTAAGATAAACAAGCACGTTTTTCAACTGGTGGTAAGTGATTTTTTTTTGCAGCAGAAGAGTTTTTTTTTTTGTAAAAGAAAACTTTAACAGTAGGAATATATTGTGTTGCAGGAGACTTTAAAAACATCCATGAAACGGGTACAAAGAACATCCAGACTCAGAACAACAATTTGGGGATCGAACTTACAACACTCATCTAAGTAGAAAGCGGTATTTACACATTCACACAACGCCATCTAGACCCCAACTAACCAGAGCTTGTACTATGGGTACTAGACTACTGATATAAATACATTTTTTTTTGTAAATACCTACATATTATACATAGAAACTCCCAGACCAAATCAAACATTAAATGTTCATTCACCAAATGTTTGACTTGAGGGGAAATTGAACCCGCGACCTTTGGAATAGCAGTCCGTTACACAAACCACTACGCCATTCGGTCGTCTCTAATGTGCTGTTCCCGTTCAATGCCTTAGAATCACGATTCAGGACGCAAAGATCTTCGGGATCTACGTTAATGTTACTCTGTGAAATTTAATAAAAGGATCACTTAAGAACGATTTTCTGTGAGGCCGTGGTATCACTCCGGTCGAATCGACCCATTCGTGATGGAGCATGGTTCTCGTACATTTTAATATATTAGTGATACAATTAGCTTATGTAGATGGTTTGTTAATATGTACAGAATGATAGCTAGCGTTTTATATAATGTCCAGTTTAGACTTCTTTTTCTATCCATATACACCGAGTGGTGACGGATTAAGAATACAAATTGTCACCACCCCAATTCATCCCGTGGGTGTCGTAAGAGCCGACTAAGGGAGCAAACTAAGCAGGACAACAGCACTGCAAAGAGAAGGAAAACTTGAAACAAACCCTATACCAACCCGTCTGGCCAGCCTTTCTAAGGAGAGGCCTATGTCCAGCAGTGGACTAGTATAGGCTGTTGATGTGATACACGAGATAACAATTTAAGTTTCTTTATTATGATCCATTTTGATCACTGAAGCATCTTTGAGAAGGAGGAAGAGGGTATCAAAAATATTTGAGGATTGCGTTAGGACTACAGTTTCCTCTTCGGGTATTTTAAGATACACATTAAAGACAGTATTTCTCTCTTCATATTTTTGAAGAAAGCATCACAAAACCTCAAAAGCTTATTAAAAAAATCGGTTGTCTGTAAAGTTGGTTTACTGACGATAGTTGAACGTGACAACGTCATAAGAAAATACTGATGGAATGGTTGCATTTTTCAAAAATGTATTATTGTATACGAGTAGTAGCTGTCCACGCGGACGCATCGCTCACTCAAGTTCCTACTTGAGAGAGACAGATGTCGAACGCTGCCGAACGCGGAGGCCGATTGTACCTCTTTGTCACTCGTTCCGCGCTCTCGCTTGCACTTCACGCCTTAAATGGAACGCCTCAGAGCGAGGTAACGCCGCATGAGTCATGTTTTTTGAATTATATGAATGATAAGATGTTGTCACGTCAAAAACTCGTAATTTTAATGGCAGGTTGCGTATCGGTAGAGTTAGAGATGCCGCAATGGACGTACAGTGCCTTCCACATAGATGAGTTTCAATGTATATATTTTTTTAATTCTATATACATACTGGATGGTTTTTCTTCGTGTTCTGTTAAGAAGAAAAATATGAAGAATTTATATATTCTACAACGTTATGAAATCTAAGTATCATCTGTTTGTGGCGTGACTACCGAGAATTGTGTCGAGAATTTATTAAAGCCGGCAAATCTACCTATTGTGTTAGATTTTAGGGTAATTACATTAATAAATTATCAAAGTGATGCTATTTACGAATCTGAAATAAAGAGTTCTCTTTGTTTCAGATTCGAGAAATAACATTGTATACGGTATGTTATCTTTTATTCTGTTTTATTATGTATTATATCTTACGCTTTTTGTAAAAATAACGAAAATTCCCTTAAATGGTGTTAAGTTTGATAGTAATTTAGCACAAAATGTAGTAGAAATTCTAGTAGAAAATATTTATTCGGCTCGTAAGAGCCGACTAAGGGAGCAAACTACGCAGGATAACAGCACTGCATATACCAACCCGTCTGACCAGCGTGTTATAGTAGGCCAAAACCTCCTTTCTAAGGAGAGGCCTATGTCCAGCACTGGACTAGTGGGGGCTGTTGATGATGATAGTAGAAAATGGTTTGTATTACACAACAACTTACCATCACAAATAAGTTCTTTTACTTCTTTTACGTGTACTGAAACCAATAAATAAAAACGAATTAATTTTAATTAAGGCTATTTTTACATAAATATCAAAATGCATTTATAAATAAGCAAGGTCATGACATAAGTAAAAATTCAAACTCGTTGATATGTCAAAATTATTGTTGTGTTTATTTTGAAGTTAAAAAAGCCTTTCAAAATTTTGGAGTCCCGTGCCCTTTTACATGAGTGAAACTCACAGCTGTTTTATTATTTTAGATATTTGTTTTATAAAAATAGCAATCTTGGGCTTATAAACATAGTCACTCCTGTTAATTCCTCGCAAGGCAACAGGCACAAACATCACAACTCTGTAAACATTTGTCCAAGTTATTACAGGCCACTTATACTTAGTGCTAAGCTGGGCTTCAGTCATTAATCCCTTTTACAGGCCCGACAACTGTTTGTCTTTTGATATTTAAATAGAAGCTTCTTGTTTTACTTGTTTTCATAAATACGTGATATAAATATTAATTTTAAAAGACAAAGAATCAGTGTATCTTAGGCGAATGATGAATGATAAAGAAATAACGCATTGAGTATCCGTGTAAAATACGTTTCACGGTTTTAGCGTCAAGACTCTTAGGAGATTCACATCAACAGCCTTTAATAGTCCACTGCTGGACAAAAGCCTCTCCTTAAATAGGAGATTATCTGATGATAAATATATACACTAGAAATGGCTGCTTCGGGAAGTACTTGTGTCAAAATTATTAGTGTACCTGTGTGTGTGTAGTGTGTGTGTGTGTGTGTGTGTGTGTGTGTGTGTCTACCAATCAATTCCGAGATTGCAGAGTAGAACTAGTACGTTCACACGTTCAGCAGAAGTCACAGATGATGCCAGAAAGAAAGAGGATAGAACCAGAATCGTGATAATATCTTCTATGGATGCCTCTGGATATCCATTTCTCTTATGTTTCATTATAAAAATATTTCTACTCATTAGTATGAGTTTGTTTGTCTTCTTCTCATAAGGCTCAACCCTTTGGAAACGGGCGGTTGTAGATCGGTACAGGTATATCATAAATTTTGTATAAGTATGATTTTTATTAAATTTAATTTCGTAAGTATTTGACAAAACAAAAATTGTTGCTATTGAGTGTGTGTTGATCTACGACTGTAGAGTCTACATAAAAGACGATTGATGAAATAAAGATATTTTGAATTTGAAGTACTTTATCAGTTCTAAGTCAAAACATTAATTAAAACCTCGTTAAAAAAGTAGATTTAACGAATTTCCCTACAACTTGCAAAGTACGTTTGTTGCGTGCTTTTCATTAATGTGGTCAACTGCTTACTTTCAATCTTCCTAAAAGAATTGTGTTTCTAAGAAACGTTATGGGGTTATTCAGAATAAAAACATTTTACGTATATTTTATATGCGAAAGTATATTTATTTGTTCGCCTATATTTGACATGACAATGTGTTGGCGTGACTTTTTTGATTAGGAACAATTTATGACTTTTAGAGGGACATCGGCTGATTTGTATAGCAGCACTGGCACAGCTCTTGGGCAAGTGGTCATTTTCATTCATTCTATACCAATCAACCTTGGAATGATAAAAATTAGAGGCAGATATTTCAAAGGGTACTAATCTATAATTTAAAATGTTAAATTATTAATATAAAATACACAGACACGGTCCATAACATCTATTCGCCTCAAAGCAATTTCTTTTATGGAATAGGGGGCAAACGTGCAGACGGGTCACCTGATGGAAAGCCACTACCGCCACCAATGAACGCCTGCAACTCAGGAGTCACAAGTTCACGGTTCGCAAATACCGCAGCCGATAACTTGTTCCACAAATTGGTAGTATACTGGTAGTTGCGGTAACAGCTCCGCAGTCAGCTCAACAGTACCCCGAATGATCCCATCCGTTCAATGATGCTAAACAATTTGAAAAAAAAAGCTGTACTTACATTCTTTTTAGAAAGCAACCCTTTTATAACAATAATTTGAAATTCTTTCATCACAAATACATAACGAACTAAATAAAATATATTCTCAATATGAGTAACTACAAATCATATTACAGTTAAATGTCATTATTAATTTAAGTAGCTTCTAGATTTAATCCTTCCTGTACAACAAAACTAAGTACAGTTACCAGTTTAGTTTTTTTTAATTACCAGCCAAGTCGAGGATTGAAAAAGGCGTTTTTTTTTAACAAGCAGAAGAGAAGCCGGAATAAAAACAAATGTAATCAATTATTGGATTTTTACCTATGAAAATAAACTCATATATATTTATATATTCATATATAAATAATATTGTACCACATTGACACAAAGCCATCTAGTCCCAAACTAAGCAGAGCTTGTACTATGGGTACTAGACAACTGATATAATTAAATATATACTTTTTTTTTTGTAAATACATACATATTATACATAGAAACACCAGGACCAAATCAAACATTAAATGCTCATGCACACAAATGTTTGACTTGAGCGGGAATCGAACCCACGACCTTAGGAATAGCAGTCCGTTACACAAACCACTACGCCATTCGGTCGTCAAATCAACTCGTCAACAAGTCATATATACAACTAATATTATAAATATACATATATATAATGTTAGTTTATACAAAGATATTTATATGTTTACAGTAAATAAACTATATTTATACAAAGAGCCAAGTGGTTCTTTCAACACGAAGAAAAATATAGATCATTTAAGACAAATATTGTGTGCGATATTACAGTTTGAATCTGATCTGGATCTTGCTCCAAGTCTTGATCTCGGTCGAGTCTGGTCTTGGAACTAGACATGGATCAAAAACTCGACCTAGACCTGTGTCTAAACCTGGATCTTGACCTGGACCAGAATCCTGATCTGTACATGGATCTGAATTTGGTTTGGATCTGGATGCTGATCTGGATTTGATCTAGATCATAGTCTTACTGAAGATCCTTTCCTGTGATCTAAGTGCTGCGTTAAAAAAAAATGTCTAATTCATTTGAGTTCCGAATTCTTTGTTAAAAGAAAAAATCACAACATTTCAAATACATCCCATGACTAAGTTGTAATACACTGGTACAGGCGATTAATAAATACGTATAATAATCATTATAATAACATTACAAACCCATATCATGTTTAAGAAATATTACCAATTAAATAAATGTGGTTGTCCAACAATTATGCTATTAGATAATATTTGAGTATAAAATGTAACAAATTTCGAAATGTATGTCATTCGTTAATAAGACCTCAGTTCAGTAAAGTTGTAACAGTTAACTTGTAAACACAATCAAAGCGGAATTAACATGTTATTGTTTTATTTATTCGCTGTACTTGCCAGCACAGCATCCTCATCTAAGATATCCTGTGAACTTGGGCAAGAAATCAATACGAGTCTGCTCCCAACGGCCAATTTGTTGACTGGTAACTGGTCTTACTCCTACCATTGGGACAAAAATGATAAATACCAGTTTGAATTCTTAAACGAAGCCGTCGACCATCTGTTGGATTGCCCTCAAGTTGAAATTATCCCAGTGCCCCAAAGTCTCGTGGAGAACAAGAAAGAGAAGTGCCGTAATTATCCGATCCCGTTTAGATGGGAAGACGCTTTGTTGAAGATGGACGCTCCTATGATAAGCCTGAAGGATGCTATCATTGTGATAGGAAAAACGGAACACTGGTTGTTTGTGGACTGCCAGGATATGCTGCATGTGGCTGCGTTACAAGTGTCTGATGATGTTATAGTGATGATCAATCCAGATGAGGCTGTATATATGGAAATGTTGTCAAGGAAACCCCTCCTGTTAAGTGAACTGAAGTGTATTGCACATAATATAGGCATCGGAAAGGGTATGACTGGAATTTCGTTATGTTATTGATTGAATAAATTGTGAAATTTTGTTCAGTGGTTTTTATTGGTTTTATGAATGGTTTGTTAGGTGTTTTGTGGTATTGGGGGCAGAGGAGTAGACTAATCATCTGATGGTAAGTGTCTACTGCTGTCTATGGACGCAAGCGCCTCAAGAGAGATAATTATGTTGCCAGGCGTTTCAGTGGCTCCTCAACCTGAGCACAGGAGACATACATTAATGTACAAATCTAAAAATGTTTTTTTTATTCTAATAATACCTACGAACCTCATTAAGAATTTGCCCGACTTAGGCCGTGTATGTCAAGTAATTATTTTTAATAAGTGTTTCCACTGCATATACTATCTACTAGTAATGTCCTTAGTAATTTCGAAATTTATGACTAAAAAATATAAATAAAGACCACTAACAAATATTACACACCTTCATTTGAAATATTTACAAACAAAAAATTGAAATAGGCTTGCAACACTAAAAGGATTACCTAACATAGGTACGCAAGAACTTTAAAATTCTAATTTTGAAATTCAATTATAGAAATATTGTTTATTAAAAAAGTAACAGTGACTCAATATTCCAAGACTAACAAAAATATATCTAGATTTTGGTAAATCTAAAAATCACACCGTTGTTTAATCACCGCCCCTTAACTAAGAGTGGGTTTAGGTTTTCTGTAAATATATTAATTTATTTACATACAATCACGCTAATATCCCGTAAGGTGTAGACAGAGTCGTATTATAAGCCCACATTTTACAAACTATAATTTAAGTCGCACTTACGCAGTAGGACTGTACTGTAGTAACTGTAGTCTAAAAAAATAAAAAGTTGCTAATAATAACTACAGACATGTCACACACGGCCGTCTTTTCTTTTTTCGTTCTTTGAACTCAACTCCCCGCACTAGGTCGCGGAAGACTACACACATACATAATACGGACACAAAGAACACCCAAACTCGAAACAACAATTTGTGAATCACACAAAGCATTGTAGGGATCGAACCCACAGCACTCAGCGCAGTAGAAAGAGGGGAGGTGATTGCTTAAACCACTACGCACTCCGTGCAGTCATTCATATTCAAATGTATGCAATATCATACTCAATAAAATGCAAACTTGAGTTTCATTTAGCCATGCTGTCTGTGGTGGCAGCAAATATTATGTTATTAATAATAACTTCACACATCTTATACACAGTAGTCTGATCCCAATGTAAGCAGAGCCTTTACTATGATAATCTAACTGCTGATAAACATACTTATATATTCCTAAATACATACATATCAAGAGATAAATTCTATCCGTGCAGTGGCGGATTAAGAATATGGAGTGTCACCACCCCTATTCATCCCGTGGGTCATCCCAACAGCACTGCAAAGAGAAGGAAAACTTGACAAAAACCCTATACCAACACGTCTGGCCAGTGTGGTATGGTAGGGCAAAACCTCCTTTCTAAGGAGATTCCTATGTCCAGCAGTGGACGATTAAAAGCTGTAGATGTGATGAATAGATTAATTACATTGAGGCACAGAATAAAAAAAAAATGTGTCCTTGATCGGCGTTGGTCAATTACTACCAAGTGACCCGTCTGTTCATTTCCCCCCTTTACTTACCATAAAAAGGCTACTATAAGCTACACAGGTCTCCGAATGTCTTAATAATAGCGGTTCCCGGATCTCTCCTATAACAGGCGCAGAGTGGCACACCGTGTGGTTTTAGTTGGTCCGATTTCGACACACCACCCCACCGGGGTTTGCGGGACGGCCCGAGGGGGCTTCCACACTTAAAAAAAAACTACACAGGTCTCATATTTATGTTTCACATATTGTTTGAGATTTTAATTGCAAAATGTTAGTATATCCGCGAATGGACTTTGTTTTTTTTAAGCAATTTAGTTTTTACAATTTACTTGAGGGTTAAGCATTCGTTTCAACCGTTATGTCAATCCTAGACATTACGGAAGTGTTTATAAAGAGCCGACAACAACTATTTGAATAATATCGACTTGGAAAATAATCTTTTATTCGATCATCTGCCACTCCACGTCCTGTAAGATATCTGACTGGGGGTGACATACCGTTTGCTAGACTTTGGTACACTAGACTTTGATTCCTTAAATTAAATCTTTAATAGTTTAACATATCAAAATCCTTATAAGTTAATTAGTCCCTCCTATCAATAGTTTTTGTATAATTAAGATGAAAAAATTATGAATTTAATTTTATACAAAGTTTGTTTTTATTTGATGCACTATGCATGTCGGACAACGCGTTCTGTAGGGATTTTCAACCCCGTCAACAAAAACAAAAGGTTTCTATAGTTTGTTACTACTCGGTCCAAAGAAGTAAAAACTTTTTATTAACTGCTTATTCTTTTAAGTGTTTATATACCTAATTTTTAAGTAAGTAGATACAATCTATAAGTTATAACTTAATAACAAATCAAATCCATCTAAGCTATTATGGATTTCTTCTAAAACCGTTATAAATATGACCGAAGGTTTATTGCATTGCACTATGCATTATTTTGTTACTTTTCATCGAGTGAGTGAGGTTACCGGAGCCAAAACCCTTCACTCCCCTGATTCCGGGGGGATGGAACTTAAGTTGCAGACATCCATGGACGGCGGTGGTGAGTCGTCTATCCCCCTCCCCCCCCCAGTAACATAAAAACAAGTATGATTAGATGTTAACAGAAGTTTTTTATTTAATGTCAAAAAATTTGTTGCTCATTCTTAAAGGCTGCATGTAAAGCTTGGGTAGCGACAGCCGGGCATATCGAAATACTCGGATAAAGGCCGGGTGCAAGGCGGAAGCCGTAAAGATTTAACGGGCGCCGACGCTTCACAGTTTTACTGCTAAAGAAAAATTGTGATCGGATCTAAAAACTTTCCAAATAATGATGGCTATATTGATGAAGGAAATGACTTTGTATTAAATATAAGATAACGGCTTACATAGTACTACTGCACGGGGCTATTAAGAAGCTGTCTTTTCTTTTGCTTCCAGTGAGGGTGACCTCACTGGAAGCAAAAGAAGCAAAACACCCGTGAGGGTTTAGTTCTATTGATTAAGATGTACAGTAAGTAAGCGTGTGTTAATCTGTAAAAATAAATATCAATGTTTGTTTGTCCTCTATTCTTTCCAGAACCATTGATCAGATTTTGATGCAACTTTTAGTTTTCTAGGGTTCCTGGTCCAAAAATATATTTTTTACATCTATACAAACAAATAAAATTGAAGTGTCTGTTTGTAACGTCAAAATAATAGGTTTTTTAAAGCTCACACGGTTATTTGCACGATACCTATGCCTAAAAACCAGTTAAAAAAAATGGGTCTGTACTTCTGTCTATGTTTGTCTGTTGTTCCGGGTATTCTTCAATACAGCTGGACCGATTTTGAGAATATTTTACTAAAAGGTAGCTGTCTAACTAAGGAGTAACTTAAGCTATTGTACCTCTCAGAAAAACCCTATAACATTTTGCCCGGTCTGGGAGTCGAACCCACTAAGACAGCGCTTTTCAAATTTGACGCTAACGAAGTCGCGGGTACCAGCTTATAAATAATTTTTTCTTCGTTATTTCCTTATGATTCATAAATTATGTAAAAAATGTTTTTTAAGTATCAATTATAAGATTTTTAAACACACGGTCGTCTGTAAAAATTATTCACAGCTAATAATCGTACTTGTACGGCAACCAGAGATTAACACAACTTACATATATATATATATTACTAGCTGAGACCCGCGGTGTTACCCGCGTTTGTTGTTATAACCGCGGGCAACGCCGCGGGGCAAAGCTAGTCTAAAAAAAAGTAGCCTAAGTTACTCCTTATGTCATCAGCTATCTGCCAGTGAAAGTCCCGTCGCAATCGGTCCAGCCGTTCCAGAGATTACCCGCAACAGACAGACAGACAGACAAAAAATTTAAAAAATGTTATTTTGGCATATGTACCGTGTGAACACACGTATGCATTTAGTAAAAAGCGGTTATTTTAATATTACAAACAGATACTCCAATTTTATTTATTTGTATAGATATCATTTTATTAGACATAACTTCCACCTCGACAGAACGAACCCACGATCTCTGGCTAAAGAGTTTGGATGACAAACCACTACACCAACTATTATTAATATAAGTTACTATACCATTTATAAATAGACAGGCCTAATCACAACCCGTTTAAACAGCCAATAGTTGCCTTAGAAATACTCGAAATAAAAGATCTGACTATCGGGACTGAGCTAATCCAGTACAAACATTTAGAGTTAAGCTCTTAAGGCGTAGTGATTAGCCACTTGTAACTTCTATCAGTACGCCAGCCAGTTCAAGATTGTATAAGGAAAATACCTTTGTCAGTGATTAAAATGAGTACTAATAAGGATTATTATAATGAATAAATATCAGTGTGGTGACGGATTAAGAATACGGAGTGTGTATTCATCTCGGAAGTAAACTACGCAGGACAACAGCACTGCATAGAGAAGGAAAACTTAACACAAACCCTATACCAACCCGTCTGGCCAGCGTGGTTTAGTAGGCCAAAAGTTCCTTTCTATGGAGAGGCTCATGTCCAGCAGTGGACTATTAAAAGATGATGAATGATAGTGAATGAAATTAATGTTAAAGGTACTTTGAGCGTTTGTAACTACCATCTTTAACTGCCATTGAGTAAATTATTCATGGGTTTTTATGGTGTAGAACGAAACGAGCTATCGGGTCACCTGATGGTAAGTGACTACCGCCGCCCATGGGCACCTGCAACTCGAGAGTCACAGAGTATGTTGCACTTTTAAATTAAACCCCCCTGTTGCCGGCCTTCTAAATGTAACCCCCCCCCCCCTAAGTATCAGAGTGAGGGCGGTTCAGGGCTCACTCAACTAGGTGAAATGCAACGAAAGAATTGTTTAAAACCTTTAAAGATAAAGATATAATACATTATGTAGAACCAACTAACGATAAATCGGCTGCAATCATGTACTCATTCTATCCCAATGTATCAC